AATCCATCTCATGGTGATGATGAAGATATTTTATATAAAACCAGGTATTAAAATCACAGTTAGTGATATAGCCAGGTCCCAAACACAGTTCACTCCTCTGTGCAAACTTGATTAAAATTGTAAGTTTTATAAACTTTGATTTTGATTATGTTTAAAATCAAATTCATCCAAACTCACTAAGTTGGTGACTTCATATTTTAATGATTTTTTTTTATTCAACACTTGCTGCCCTGAAATAATCATAATCCTGTGTGTGGGGACACGTCTTCTATCCTTTTTCTTTTCCTAGTGCCTCTCTATTTTCTTCCAATCTAAACTCATGATTACAAGATTAGCATCTTGCCTGTGATGATTCAGGCATATTGAATCACTTCCCAATGTGTGTTTAAAATATATTGAAATCCTATCTCGGAAATATGGTGTGTGAGTTATTTTAGAATATATTATTCCTATCAAATAAAAACTAATCAACTAGGAGCCAAACAGCTAGATTTCTAGCATGCTTGATCAGATAGTCCTCATTCTTCAAATTGATTTTCAGCCCAAATATTTTACTCCTTCAAATCATGGGGACACACAAAACATTTCAAGAGTCTGCTGGTTTCTGGCTTTCTGTAAAGGAGAGTAAAGTGACAGATTCAGATTCTCTTTTTCACTTGTTATTTTTGTAAACTTAACATTGAAAACCATAGAGTGGGCTGCTTTGTATTGACTGGAATTAGGATGGAAGGAAAATTATTTCTTGGAAGGAAGATAGCATGTGTACTAGTTCATGGAAGGTTTGCCATAATAATAATGATAGTAATAATAATAATAATAATAATAATAATAATAATAATAATAATAATAACAACCTCCATGTTTTCAAGGGCTAAAACAATAAAAATGTATTTCTGTCAACAGTGCCAGTAATCTGGTGAGTGGGAGCTTTCCCTCCCCTTTTCCAGGCTTTCTCTAGCTGGAGGATCTATATTACCTTCCTTTAGTTCCAGAGTCCTCTTCATCCACATGTAAGAAGAGTGAGAACAGGGAAGGCACACTTGTGTCTCAAAAGTTTTAGCCAGAAATGACACACATCACTTCCCCCCAGTCCTATTGCTAAGTTCATGACTACCCTAGATGACTGAGAAACTGGAAAATGTTTACTTTGGCAGCCACTTACCAAAAAACAACTGTATGGAGAAGCACAGATTTTGAGGAAGGGGTACAGAAAGTTTGGAGACATACAACTTTAACTATAAACTCTGAAATTACCACAAGCTAGATGGCCTTGGATGCTGAATTAAACAACTTAATTCTTTTGGACAATGGTTTACTCTTCTCTAAAATGAGAGAGAGATCCACTTTGTAAGATAGCTGTGTTCATTAAAGGCAATACATAAACCATGTAAGACTTTGTAAGCCTAGGAGACAGAACTCCAACTCAAATAGGTAAAGTTATGAAATGAAATTTGATGGTTACAGAAATTATGTCATTGGACAGGCATTCTCAAGGGCAGATGCATTCAGAGCTGGATCTTTCTTCCTGGGCTTCTCACTTCTGCTCCTCGGTACACATTGGCCTCATCAGCTCCCACTGCAGAAAGTGTTTCTCTTTCCAAATTGTAGGGAATATAGAAACCCGTAGCTCTGAGCTCACATCCCAGCTCCATTTGCACCACCAGCTCCAGCCAGAAAAATCTGAGGGAAGGACACAGATTGGCCAGATGTGAGCCCTATGCCTATTTCCTAAAGTCAGAGAGCAACTACTTAGAGAGAGAGAAAAAGAGGATGCTGTACAGTGTATCAGTGACACCCAGTTTGTGGTAACTTTGTATTTGGGAGATTTGAGGTCAATTTGGTGAATCAACCTCAACTTCAGTATGAGGATTATCACCCCACTTTTTTCCTCTTGGATCTTAGCAGCACCCCTGCACAGCATTTTAATGGGATCACTCTTCCCAGACACCAGGATTAGCTGTATGCTCCTGCTCCTCATCAAAATCCTTTCTCCTCAGTAACCTAATGCCAAGTTCAAGAGCATGGCATTAGGCATCTGGTGAGGATTTCATGCTGCTTCATAACATGGAGGAGGGCATCATATGGTGAGGTATGGCAAGCATGCTGGCTTGGGTTACCTTTCTAATCGAGCTACTAATTCCCTCATGGGGCCTCCACCCTTATGATCGCATTTCTTTCCAAAGGCTATGACTCCAGATATCATTAACATATAAATTGGGGTATTAAGTTTGTAACATGAACTTTGGGGGACACATTCAAACCATAGCACCTATATCATACAGTATGTGTTAGCTTTTCGTTGCTTTGATAAACTACTTGAAGAAAACAACTTAAAGGAAAGAAAAAACATGTATTTTGGCTCACAGTTTCAGAGAGTTTAGTCCATAGTTAGATGACTCCATTGTTTTTAGGCTTGTGGTGAGGCAGAATATGGCAGAGCAAAGCTGAACACCTCATGGTGGCTGGAAGAAGAAAGAGAGTGAGAAGCAGAGCAGAAGGAGCTGGGAACAAGATATAATCCCCAAGTTCACATCTCCCTGATCCGGTCCTTTCAAGTAAGAACCACCTCCTATGTCCATCACTTTCTAATAATGCCATCAAATTATGGTCTCATCTATTAACTAATTCACTTAATGAAATCAGAGACCTCATGATCCAATCACTTCCAAAAAGCTCATCAGCAACCAAACCTTCAACACAATGAGCCTTTTGGGGGACATATAGCCAAACCATAAAACTGAGAAGAAATCAACACATAAATGGATTCCTGTGGAAATGTAACTGATAACAGTTGTATATGTTACCTTTCTGTCCAGGAAAATGAGCAACTTCTAACAAATCAACATCATAGAAAGGAAAGAAAAAATCCCTTGAATAGACAGTTCTCAGGATTTCCTTCTCTATGGGATTATTTTACTTGAGCTACTACTGTGGCCCCCACGCTGACCTCCCAAGAGGCAAAACTGCCCCTTTAATTCCATGCCTAAAAGCACAAATAAAAGGCAAGCTAGAAATCTCACTATCAATTTGCTAACTGCTAAGAAGAGCTAAGGAGAAATAAAAAGTATAAATAAAGCATATTAGAGTCTGGTTTAAGAGGCCAAGATTTCAAATTTCATTAGAGCGGATTTGTTTCCTGTAGACTCCATGAAGGGGAAGAAGCCCTATCAAAGCCCATCCCACCTACTCCCATCGTTTCTGCTCTAGAGGAAGATAGGCCTGAGATTGACTCCTGACTTGCTTTCTATGGTAACTCTGTCAACTTGGGCAAGTTATTTAACTTCACTTAGACTCATAAATAATGCCTGCCTCCCAAAGTTGGCTTAAGAGGCCATCACTTTGATAGGGCTATGCTATAGAGATATTTGGTATCCCTCAGTAGTGCAAGTGTTGAAGGCTTAGTATCTAGCCTGGTGTTCCAGGAGGTGTGGAACCTTTAAGTCATTGGAGGCATGCCCTCAAAAGGGATTGTGGGATGCCAGCCCCTCCTTCCTTTCTTTTGCTTGGCCATGATGATGCTTCTGCTATGATGTGCCGCCAATCATGTCTCACAGCAACTTCCCAACTAATCATGGATTGGAACCTCTGAAACTGTGAGCCAAAATGAATTTTTTCTGCTTACAAATTGATTTTCACAGGTATTTATATGGTAGGAAGCTAACAGACTGCCATAATATACCATACACTGGGTGAGTTTAACAGTAGAAAGGTATTGCCTCAAAATTCTGGAGGCTGGAAGTCTGAGATCAGGGTGTCAGCAGGTTGATTCCTCATGAGTGCTGAGACTGTGAGCTTCAGGGCTCTTGCCTTGCTTCTGATAGGGTGCTGTCAAACTGTGGCATTCTTCGCTTTGTCGATGCATTACCTTAGTCTCTGCCTTCATCTTCACATGGCATTCTCCTGTGTATCTACCTCCAAATTTCCTCTTCTTAAAAGGACATTAGTCACTCTGGCTTAGGGGCCCAGTCTACTCTAGTCCAGCCTCGTCTTTACTAATTATATCTGCAATGACCCTATTTCCAAATAAAGCCCCCTTCTGAGATACTGGGATTATTCAACATATTAGTTGGGGTGGGGAGAATTCAACCTAAAACAAAGAGTGAGTGAAGTAATGTGTGTAAAGCAGTTAACATGATGTTTTGTGCATGTGAGCTCACTGGACACGCTGTCCTCATGACCACCGTGACACTTCAGTTGTGTGCTTGGCCCAACTGCTCCTGCCTGTTCCTTGCAGCCCTCACCAGGTCACACAATGCTAAGGTAATACAAGAACCATGTCAGGGTAAGTGATTGACAATGACATTATCATTATAACCTGTACACAATTACTGTGATCTAAACACTACTCTAGGTATCTTTTTTACTAATTTTTAAAATTTCTTAAGACAATTCTATAAGGAAGGCAGGAATATTATTTTTCTCATTTTATAAATGAAGAAACTGAGGGAAAGAGAGGATAGGAACTTGTCCAAGACCACACAGCGTTTATGTGTTAGCATTGGGATTCCAACCCAGGCAGGTGGCCTCTGGACCAGCATGTCCCCAACCAACAGCCACCCTGAACTTTGTTTCCTGTGTCTTCTAAATATCTGTCTAGCCACTTGTCTTGAGGACCTGCATTAGGAATGGAGACAAAGTCAGTTCTGTACCACAGATCAGATTCACTGTGTCAGCTCCATTGTGAAAGTTGGATCTATGGGAACAGGTGTGATCACTCATTTCCTTGGGGGGGGTATAAATCATAGTCCCAGAGTTACATGCCTACAGGTATCTCCTCTCTTGGGTCAGCTTCAATATGGTATAGTAATATCAGGCTGCATTCCCTGCCTCCTTTACACACAAAGCAAAAGGAACCCATTTTAAATTGTTTCCTTTTGGTGGGTTGATATGTGGCAGTGTTTAAATCTGATCAAGCCAAACCAGAGCTCACAAGAGACAGCAGCTTGGAAAACCCAGCCCATCATGTTCAACACTTACTATTTGTCCCGTTTCCTCCACAGATCTGGGACCTGGAAACCTATAGCTGCTTGTTCACAGCTTCTTCCAAAGTTAGTGGCATTAAAGGGGATCTCACAGCCTGCCTCTACCTCCCAGAACCCCAAGCTCTGTGTGTGGCCACTAATGCTGTGGCTCTCCTGCACCTGCGACTAAGGTATTAAGCTGTCTGTCCCCTTGGTTCTACATACTCAGCATTCTAGAAGGTTCTGTAGAGCCCACTGTAGCTGTTACCTACCTTCTCCTTCATGCTGTACAGTTGGGACCTTTGTGCACAGATCGTGTGGCTCTAGCTTGCAGCTTATATTTGGGTAGCTGTCTTTAATGTTTTTTTATTAGTTACTCCAGCACCATCTTCCTATACTATCCAAAAGTCTATAGTCGATCTCATCAACTTCTTAGGCCTCGTCTATTCACCAGCCTTACCCTGGAATAAACTTCTCCAAAATGTACTATGTGGATGCTGCTTATGCTGTCCAAAGGTATCAACCTAACCAGTACAGCTGAGCAGAGAGAGCTCTCAGCTGGGGCTGGTAATACCTCTGTTGTGCCACCTCTGTTATGCCACATTTCTCAGACATGTAAAGCAGGATGGACAGATATGGATGGCACATGCATCTCCTGCCCAGGGCCTCTGTGTCCAGGAGTTTTTATGCTTAGAGACCCAAGTCTCCTTGACCCCTCTGCACATAAATGCACAGTGGTTTCTTTGGCACTCCTTTACCAAGCCATGATGCCATGATGTCCTCTAAAAGGAAAGAAATACCTGCTTACCCTTCTGTTCTCAGAGAGACCATTTAGCACTGAGTATTAATCAGCTTCATGTGTCCTTCTCTGCCCTGCCTAGGCTGAGACTGACAAGTCTTACTAAAGAGTTTTAAGTTCTGTCCCCCAGGTACCAAAAAGTCCCAAAAGTCCAATCCTGAAGGTTTACAGATGAGCAAGCAGTGGCCTAAAGAAAGGAATGCACTGTCCTAGGGCAGTACTGGAGCAGAGCTGGGATGAGTTCCCCTGTGTCTGGGTGTTCTTCACATCCTCCATGCAACTGTCCCTGTCACTGAAACACCAAAATTTTCCAAGACATCAAAGGGGAGAGGAAGCCTTAAATTTAAAAAGAAAAAAATCTTACAATAAATGGCACATTTTCTGGCCTCACTTCTCCAGAGCCTATAAAGAAGGGTTCCCACAGACACTCCTAAGAGGTGAATGTCTGTGAGGTAAGTCTTAATCCTTCTCTCAGGCTTTCAGAGAAGGCTTACCAGCTGGCAAGGTAGCAGGGTGCCTCTCCTGTGCTTTGAGAACCAAAAGACTCTCTATATTCCCAAAGCAGATATCAATAAAGCAGCTCATGTTGCAAATATAGCTCTCTCTTATTTCCCCATTATCCCTCTCTTTTGTATCAACATAAACTCACTCCTCCTTCCCCATCAGCAGCCTTTCCCCTTGGTGTTCAGCAATACTACAAATCCAAAGTCAGTAAACAGGATCCAAGGAAAGCTTTTACAAGTGAATATCACAGTTCACGTTTCAAATCCTATCTGTCTCGTAATGGCAACTGGGTTTTCTGAATCAGAGATCATAAGGATGGCCCCAAGGATGTGTCTTCTTAGTTTGTAAATATAGGCATAGGAGGGGTTTCAAATATATTTGTTGTACTCTTCAGTCAAATCATAGGTCAAGAATTAACCTTATAATAAAGGGATCCTTTTTCATACATCAGAATTTCATGGAGAACTCTAGAATGTGAGGTGCTGGCTGGTGGCTGTCCACACCCTTCCTAATTTGCTTTCTGAGGCTTGTGTGAAACAGGGAAACCCAGGCAGAGTGACTGACACATGATTGCTGGCCAGGCTCAGAAACAATCAGGCTCCTCACTCAAGATGCCAAAACAACCAGCTGAAAACAGAAGCTTCAGTCAATCAAACTGCTGTTTGTTCTACATGATAGCATTGTGTAAAACAAACAGCCTGCTTGATTGATTTCTTTTGGAGCAAAGTGATTGAAATTCCACTTCATGGCAAATTCAACCTCAATCTCTAGTGCCAACACTTAAGTGCCAGAAAATGTCTCCCTATCCCAGCCTACTTCTCATCCCTTCTGTCAGTCAGGAGCTATGTGACCTGGGTTGAGTTATTTAATGCTCCTCTGTGAAGTAGGGAGCTCAGCTCTTTCTTCCCAAGGTTGGAAAAGGGTAATGAGGCTGATAACCAACCGTGCCCTAAACTTTTCCTTTGGCCCGGATTCTCTATGGCTCTCCTTCCCCCTCCCACCTAGGCCATACTCTGCCTTTACTTTTCAAAGCCCAGGGATAGTTCATAGAGAACTTCTCAACATCCCTATGTCAAAACCTGCTCTTTCTCAAGGAGGCTTCTGGGCATCCACACTTCAGACCTGTCAGAGGCTCAGTTGTCCTCCTGTAGCTGAGCCTTAGGGCTACTCAGCAGAGGAACAGTAGAGAAAGGTGACAGAGCCACAGCACCAAGACCAACATTCTGTATTAAGCATCCACCACATGCTGAGCTCCTTCAGACATTTATGTGTCCCTCCCTTACTCCTCAGAAAATTTCCATGAGGAATCCGTTATGCAGATCAAGAAATTATCCCAATGGGGTTGGGTTACTTAACCCTAAAGTCTGTGTGTTCTGACCTCCCACAGTAGCTCATGGGACAAGGCTCGGTTTTCTCAGGTGTGCACTTTACACCTGAGCACACATGGGAGTCACCTCACAAGGCCTCCCAGGATCTGACTGTTCTTGTCTCTGCTGGGAGCAGGAAGTACTGATATGGAAGGAAGTCCTGAGCTACTTCATTTGTGTTTGTTTTGGGGAAGATCTAAATTACTGTGGAGAAGATCCATTATGTAATTTCACAGAATCGTTTCTCTGCCCAGAAGAGAAGATGTGAACTCTTCTCTTTCTTAGCAGCCACTAAGCTCACCAGCTATATATATGTGATGCTCTGTGCTGGTGTTGTATGGTTTCTCACTTAATCCTCAAAACCACCCTTTGAAGTAGGTATTATTACTACTGTTTTACAGATGAGAAAGTTGGCATTTTGAGCAGTTAAACAACTTAAGCAGTGTCCCAGACCACAAAGCCTATCCTCTTAGCTATTCTGTCAAGGAGCATCAGAGCAATCAGAAATTGCACACCTAAGCAGTCAGAGCCTTGCCCCATGAGCTACTGTGGAGGTCAGCACACAGAACAGACCCCTTCTGGGTATCCATGTCATGCTGTTAGCTCAGTCTGTCACTGTCTGTTTTTCATGAACAAGACCTGCCCCAGAGCCCCACCTGGTGCTTTCCCACCAAGACCCTGTGGTGTGTTGCAAGTACAACCCGGCCTTCAGGCATGTGGTCAGCTGCTCTGAAGCATCTGTGAGTACCAAATCCTGCTCCTTTGCCAGTGGTATCCCTGTGAGTGTGGCCTTAGCCTCTCTGTCCTCCTGTTAGAGCTGAGGAGTATTTTCTGATGATATTCTGTCCCTGGAAGTACATCATGGAAGGCTCTGGTCTACTCTGTTAATTATTCCAAATTGTTTGGACTTTCTTCTACAGAGTAGGATGAAGGAAGCTAGTCTCTCCAGCGGCTTGTAGTGTGAGCTATGTGGAAGGACCACCTTGGTGATGTTATCTCACTGAGATTCTCTTGTATGGCAGCTCTAAGTATAAAGGACAGAGCCTTCCCCTCACCAGGGGCTTGTGGGATCACTGTTCAGCCTTGATGAGTGGCACAGCTCAGTCCACTGTGGATGGGTGGGTGACATAATTGATGTTTGTTGAATAAGGAAAATATGTACATCCCATCTTCTTCTGCCCTTGTGCAGTGGGAAGACACATCTCAACTACACTCATAATGTATTAATGTTCTCAAATCTCCTAATAAAGTCAGGTGTCACTTAACAATGGGATAGAGTCTGAGGAAAAGGGGTTGTTGACTATGTTTTCATTGTGTGAACATTATAGAGTATAACTTACACAAACTGGGATGGTATAGCCTACTACACACTCAGGCCTATTAGATATATACCCCTATCATGGCCTATTCCTCCAAGGACAATGATGAATAAAACACCACAAGATCAAATCAAGGACAAGAGACAAGAAGCAATCAAAAGAATAATGAACATAAGATATTGAAGCCTCTGCCAGCTTAATGTGGGATATTATTTTGTAGTAAGCATTTGTCCACAAATAGAAGTACACCCTAAAATAATGATTAAAATATGGATTATAAACCAGTAACAGTCATTTATTATCATTATCAAGTGTTATATGATACACATAATTTCATGTGCAACACTTTTACCCCACTGGCAGCATAGCAGGTGCATGTACACCAGTGTCATCCCACAAGTGTGAGTGATGTGTTGCACTAGGATAGTAACATGGCTGTGACACTACTAGGAGATAAAATGGTTCTAGCTTCATAATGATCTCATGGACCCACTATTGTTCATGCAATGGATGCCTGACTTAAGCATCTTTATGCAGTGTGTGACTTTATTAGTTCATCATTTTCTGAGCCACCGGCCTGGGTAGCATCACAGGGGAGCAGTGGAGCAGCCAGGGCATGTGGCTTCACCTCCTTTCCTGCTTCAACCCAGAGCCAGGCCTGCCAGGCTAAGGGGTTACAACCTTAGTCACACCCCAGGCCACACAACAGTCTGCTTCACAATCTTCACACTCTTTCATTCCCACCTTACTCCTGGGGAGACACCACTGTCCTCACACAGGTTCTTGCCCTGTTTCATTGCCAGGATTTTATTAAGTGTTTAAAAAATAGATTCTCTAGTATGCTGGTCAAAAGTATTTTCATGATGAATCAGTCTCATGCCTCTCCAAGAAGGTGAGTGCCTGAATATTTGGGGTCCATGCTCATAAGGAAGTACCATAGTTATTAGAATCTCCGGTCACTCCTATGAAACCAAGAGTATTACCTTCTCATCATCCTCCTCATTCCTCTGTGTAGACTTTTCCCATCTCCCCTCAGACACTTTCCTGCCTCCTCCTCTTTTCACACACACACACACACACACACACACACACACACACACATGCACACGCACACGCACACACACACGTGAAGACCCTTCCAGGTCCAACTCAGATCCCATTTGCTAATGAAAGTTTTCTTCCCTTCCCAACTCAAGCAGGTTTCACTCTCTTTTTGACCAACCCCAATCAACACCCCACATTAGTGTGGCACTGTACCACAGAGGTGAGCTTCACCTTCAACAAGGAAGCAGTCACTTGGAACCCGCATGTGTGTTTCTTCTATACTTTCCTTCTTGATCTGTCAAAACTTTTTATTTTTCTCCCAATTGAGCCCCTCCTATTAATACTCCATTCAGCTGTGAACTCATCACTTGTTAGCCCATTGATGAAGTTAGCAACATCATGATCCAGTCACCCCTCTATGCCCCACCTGTGAACAACAAATGGGAAGTCAAATCCTCAGTACTGAAGTTTTTGGTGAACACTTCATATTTAACCCACAGCAAAACTCTCCAACATTAAATGAGTGACATTGATTTCAGTAAGTGCCCACTATGTAGATATGGTGCTATGTGAAGTCTTTGGAATATCACCATCACATTCCAGAACATTCAAGCCACACTGCACACTTGACTTTTGTGGAGGAGAGAGTATGGCCCAGGATCCTCAGAGTTCAAATTCAAATGAATATCATGATACCACATTTTGTTCATTTGGTTATGCCATAGAAGTGCTAAGGACCACCAACTTTTGGTGCCTCTGAAAATGCTTAAAAACTGCATGATGAAAATTCATAAACGGTCAGTAGATGTTTAAAACATACTACATACCAGCTACAACTTATGTGAACACATTATCTAATGTGAGTTCATTTTGTAAGAATAACATGAATTTTAATCAACAGAGCTTGAAAACTATAAATATTATTAAATCATTTTCAATTTAATGTTGAGCTTTTATTTAATTTTAAGATAAATTTTTATTTTTATTTAATTTGGGATAATGTTTGAGTGGATGACATCCCTCAAAATAAAGCCAATGAGGTTTTTAAAGAAACCCTACTATGGTGTGACATTCTCCCTACTAATAGCAAGTTAGGTATCTACAAAAAGCATAAATAGAACATTTAGACTTTTCTTAATTCTATAAATATTTCCCTGAAGTAATTTTCATTGCCCACTTTAGTCTGTTCGTATCTGGATGACTTTCTTTGAAGATTTTTTTTTTCCCCCTTGGAGGTATATTTGCTTAATTATCTAATAGAAGCCCCAAGCCTCAAAAGGCAGGCCTCACACTCTCTGCTTTATTCTTCCTAGGCAGCATCAGCTTCAGCATCAGCTGATAGGTATCCAATTAAAATCTGATCCTCGGGGCCAGGGATTTACCTCATTGGTGCCTCTGCCTGCCTTGCAAGCACAGGTCCTGAGTTTGATCCCTGGTACCAAAAAAAAAAAAAAAAAAAAAAAA